GGTAGTCAGCTACTTGCTTTAAGGTTTCGGTAGATGTCACATAACTTTTGAGCTCGGTAGATATTCGCATGACTAATGCAGGACGGTCCAATAGAACTGATATTAGTCGATGTGACGATGACCAATAATCACGATCATAAACCGGGATTGTAACTCTTCGAAGCAATTTCGATTTCCGATACGGAATGTTTGCATAAGCTGAAAATATTGATAAACTTATTGACGAACCTGAGGAGGAATTAGTCTGAAACCACTGAAAAGGAGAACGCTTTGTTTATCTTCCGCTCCGCAACACACACTCACGGGCTGTCAAAATGTACTACCGAAGGCGAATGGTAATGATACATATACTGGACAGCCGTTGTAAATCTCAATTACTTTAACACGATTTTGACTGTGAAAGCTATTGCTTATTTATAAGAAAACAAATAGAACTCAATCATATTTAGTGTTTTCTTTAAGTTTGTATTTTATAGCGTAAATGAATGTATTATTGCAATAGTGCATCTAGCGACATCTGTTGCAAACATGTTTGAACTGAGTTTAAATGTTTTACCAACAGGGTGAGCTAGCGTAGCAACACTAGCGCTCTGGGTGGCAAAGAAGTGCAGGAACGACTTCCAACTACTGAATTTTAAACTCTTGAATTCCCAACTTTGCGATTTCCAACCGTTCAATTTCCAATTTCAAACTGTTAACTTTCATACTGATCAAATTCCAATTGATCAACTTCCAATTGTACAATTTCATACTTGCTAATTTCAAACTGTTCAATTTCCAAATAATTTGATTTCAATTGTATAAATTCCAAATGTCCATTTTCCAATTATTGAATATCCAACCACCGACAAACCGACATGAAACTTAAACTTTCGGCCGATTCAAATGTGCAGCGATTGCATGTGTCGAAACCATAGAAATGTTTTATCTAGATATAAATAGTTTGCCCGAAATAGGTTAGACACGAACCAACTCATAAATTTTGTACGCGTGTTCGTGGCTAGGATAAATATTTTCCGCGAACACGGCGGCAGATGTCAGTTTTGTGCTTTGATCAGAAATTTCTTTGTAATTTGCATGATCATTCATGTCGGTTTGTCGGTGATTCAACTACTAAATTTAAAACTGTTGAATTCACAACTTTACGATTTCCAACCGTTCAATTTTCAACTGTAAAATTTCATACTGTTAAAATTCCAATTGCTCAATATCCAACTGTTCAATTTCAAATTGTGCAACTTCATTGTTTGCAATTTCAAAATGCCCATTTTCCAATTGTTCAATATCTAACTACTAAATTTAAAACTGTTGGATTTCCAACTTTGCAAAGTCCAACCGTTCAATTTCATACTGTTCAAATTCCAATTGATCAATTTCCAACTGTGCAAGTTCATAATTTTCAATTTCAAACTGTTCAATTTTCAAATGATCAATGTTTAACTGTCCAATTTCCAAATGCGCATTTTCCAATTGTTCAATATCCAACTACTAAATTTAAAACTGTTGAATTTCCAACTTTGCGATGTACAACCGTTCAATTTCATGCTGTTCAAATTTCAATTGATCAATTTGAAACTGTGCAAGTTCATATATTCCAATTTCTAAATGATCAATTTTCAATTGCCCAATATCCAAATGCCCATTTTAAAATTGTTCAATATCCAACTACTAAATTTAAAACTGTTGAATTCCCAACTTTGCGATTTCCAACCGTTCAATTCCATACTGTTCAAATTCCAATTGACCAATTTCCAACTGTGCAAGTTCATAATTTTCAATTTCAAACTGTTCAATTTTCAAATGATCAATGTTTAGCTGTCCAATTTCCAAATGCGCATTTTCCAATTGTTCAATATCCAACTACTAAATTTAAAACTGTTGAATTTCCAACTTTGCGATGTACAACCGTTCAATTTCATGCTGTTCAAATTTCAATTGATCAATTTGAAACTGTGCAAGTTCATATATTCCAATTTCTAAATGATCAATTTTCAATTGCCCAATATCCAAATGCCCATTTTAAAATTGTTCAATATCCAACTACTAAATTTAAAACTGTTGAATTCCCAACTTTGCAATGTCCAACCGTTCAATTTCATACTGTTCAAATTCCAATTGACCAATTTCCAACTGTGCAAGTTCATAATTTTCAATTTCAAACTGTTCAATTTTCAAATGATCAATGTTTAGCTGTCCAATTTCCAAATGCGCATTTTCCAATTGTTCAATATCCAACTACTAAATTTAAAACTGTTGAATTTCCAACTTTGCGATGTACAACCGTTCAATTTCATGCTGTTCAAATTTCAATTGATCAATTTGAAACTGTGCAAGTTCATATATTCCAATTTCTAAATGATCAATTTTCAATTGCCCAATATCCAAATGCCCATTTTAAAATTGTTCAATATCCAACTACTAAATTTAAAACTGTTGAATTCCCAACTTTGCGATTTCCAACCGTTCAATTCCATACTGTTCAAATTCCAATTGACCAATTTCCAACTGTGCAAGTTCATAATTTTCAATTTCAAACTGTTCAATTTTCAAATGATCAATGTTTAGCTGTCCAATTTCCAAATGCGCATTTTCCAATTGTTCAATATCCAACTACTAAATTTAAAACTGTTGAATTTCCAACTTTGCGATGTACAACCGTTCAATTTCATGCTGTTCAAATTTCAATTGATCAATTTCCAACTGTGCAAGTTCATATATTCCAATTTCTAAATGATCAATTTTCAATTGCCCAATTTCCAAATGCCCGTTTTCCTATTATTCAATATCCATTTACTAAATTTAAAACTGTTGAATTCCCAACTTTGCGATTTCCAACCATTCAATTTCGTGCTGTTCAAATTTAAATTGTTCAATTTCCAACTGAGGAAGTTCATACATTCCAATTTCTAAATAATCAATTTTCAATTCTCCAATTTCTAAATGCCCATTTTACAATAGTTCAATATCCAACTACTGAATTTAAAACTGTTGACGTTTCAGTACTTGGAATTGACCTTCTTCATTGAGTGCAAAAAGCTTTACGATCTAAAATGAAAACTAGCCCTGATGAAGATTCCAACCCCTGGAAGCTGAACCCAAAACAAAATGACTAATTCTTCGAGATCCTTAAGAGTCTATAGAGCAATTCCCTACGAATTCGCAAATCGGTTTATTTTTGTATTTTTTGATTAGGTTGAAATTTTGCAGAAACGTTCCTTATGACCGACAATGCCATTTTGCATCTTTATATCACCATTTTGAATCCAGCCTTATTTTTGAAAAGGGCATATAGAAAAATATCAAGCTTATCTTCAGAAAAATTTTACTCAAAAACTGTTTGCTCAATCGGTTTGGTGTGCTGGGCAATATTGCAGACAATGGATGAGACTATTTGAAAAAAATATGCACTCTAAAAAAGTTCTCCAACTTTTTTTTTTAATTTCAATGAAAATCTTTAAAATATTTTTTTCTTAAAAAATGTTGTTTTTTTTATTTGTTGATATGTTTAGGGGACAAAAAATACCACCTATTGCACTATAGGTCAAGTTGAAGAAATGATGGACAAAAAAGTTAGGATTTAAAAAAAAACTCAAATTTTTTGAAAAATATCCAAAACTTGGTCCAATTACTTTTTCGACTTTATATAATGAAAGTACATCAAATTTACAATAAAATAGCACCAGAGTAAAGTTTTGCTAAGTCACACCGTTTTCGAGATGTAGCGGTTTGAAATTAGGCGCATCTTTGAAGTTTTTGCTACTGTCTTATAGATCTCTGAAATGCAGTAAGATTCACAAGAGTTTCCTAAATTTCTCAGAACTTTTTAAAAGTTCCCGCAATTTTCCTGACGTTAGTTGATGTGCCCTGACATTATTTGATCTATTCAGATGTTCCTGCATTGTAAACCTTTCCTTCCAATTTTTCAATGTTTTAAGATGCAAATATGAGTTTTTTTTAAAGTGCTAGAAGAAAAGATGTTCGAATCCGTAACAACAAGTTTTGTTTAAAATCAATAGTATTTTAATTGTGTTTCAATAGTTACTCAATTGAATTCCCAAGAACACATATGTACTAGAGCTGGGACTTCAACTATCCGGATACTTTAGTTTTTTTTCAATAAAATTACTTAAGACAAATAAAATATCGTTGAATTGATATTCAGTATACAGAATTTCATGCTTTCTAGTGCCCAATATTGAAATAAAATAAGTTGAGAAAACATTGAGATGGTTATCAGGCGGATAGTAACTACCCGGTTATCCGAATAGTGAAATTTCAAATGTATTCTCCCTTTAACAGTTTCCTTTTTTACTGTTCTAAATGTTTGCCAAAAAATTGGTTTTTAGGTGCCCATGTGACCTGATGTGGAATGGCAGATCTGTTAATTGCCAAAATTTAATAAAATCTAAAAATAAAAATATCCGTATAATCTGAGCCCCAGCACTAATATGTACGAGAATAATGAGCACACGCAGAAGAAATACTATATTTATACCGAACACGAACAAAAGAGAACTCTTTCGTTCATGTCCGGTATGTAAATATGTATTCGAAAGAGTAATAGAACTTACAAAAAAACACGGTGAATGGAGTACCGACGGTGACTGGCTACTTGACGGTACGATACTATAGCATCATCATAAAATAAGTGTTATTCAAATCATATATGGCCTTAGCTATCAACTTTCAAAAACCGGAGACAAACAAGCGCAGGGCAGAAAGTCTCCTTAATATAGATATAAAAAAAAAACTTTCAAAAATATATGGATTTACGGACTAAGTGTACCACCCACCTCAAACTACATTAAGGTAAGTTTTAGGTCATCATGATCAAATTGAAAAAAAAATTGCTACTCGATCGCACTATTTGCAACATTTGTTAGAACTTTCAAACACCATTCGGGGGATGGATTGGAATTTTCATGATGCATGAATTAGTATGATGCTTTCGAGTGATGGAAACTTACGACCTCAAACGGAATCAACCATCTTCAACTTACGTGTTAGATTGTCTTTGGAGAAACAGTTGGCCCACTCCAGTCGCGACAGTCGTTCATCCTGGTCGGCGTCACAGCTCTTCCCAAAAGACCTACCACAGCGTTTGGGTTTCACAACCTACCGTAGAAAAAAACAAAAACAAAAGCAGACATTATTCGATCACTTCTTCCCACCAAACAAACGTCACTCAGAAACCTCACTTTCTTGATCAGTCGCTTCAGCTCCCGGTACTCGGTCTTGTCCAGCATGCCATTCCGGTTGCCATCGATCGAGGCAAACTTCCAATCCAGGACGGTTTTCTCGCTGACGCCACCGCTGCCACCGGAGGAAGCCGTTAATCCGCCTTTCACGTTCTGCTGCACCCGAATGTGCTCGTTCTCGAACAGTTTCAGCAAATTACGGTTGAACACGGCCCGGTCCATGCGGGAACAGCCTGTCGATGGAGAAAAGGCCGTGAGTCGTAAGAAGTTGACAAGTGTTGAGAGCTGAACCGGTTTCCCGCGTGGCTTATTTTTAATCCCTGTGAGTGTGCAGTATTCCCCCAACATGGCCAGAAGCCCGATTTTTGGTCAGATGGCAGAGCGCGATAATAAAGTGTTAAAAAGCCACTCACTTAAGGCGAAAATGATGAAGCTCGTAAAAAACCAATCGAATCGAACCGCGAGCGCGTGCTAAACAAAAAATGCAGAGAGCGCCATAAATTATCGGATCGATAAATATTTTGAACCTGCGAACTGCCGGAATGCCGTCGTGTTATCAATCTGGTAGGATTAGGCCACGGGGTATAAACAAATGATACTTACTGCGTTTGTTTCTAACCGGATTTCTCGGCGAGGATCGCCGCTGGTTCGATTTGCCCTTCTTCACGCAAACCGGTTTCCCGTGCTGGACCGTCGTGTTGGGCAGTGGTTTGCCTTGGCTATTGACGCACCAGCAGCCGACGCTTTCCAAGCACTGGACCGGGGCGTAGGTTCCGTCCTCCCGGCAGCGGGGCACAAATTTCACCCCGTACGGAGAGTTGGACCGATGCTGGAGGGCGTACGTTCGGGATGCGAGGCAGACGTCTGGAATTATTAAAAAAAAAATTGGGATTTTTAAAAAGTTAATCAAAAATGGCATTGCTAACAACATCTGTAAGATCCTTGTTGGATTGATTTTGCCCTCAATCGTTCACTGCCAACATCCGCTTTTACACGGGATAGATCTAAGGAGCGTTGTACAAACGATGTTTACAATATCTAGAATAAATTGATAAAATGACCTGTGCAACGCCGGAAATTGTCACGCGGAAGTTGAAGAAGACTAGCAAGGTGACTCGGAATGCTGCAGAAATAGCCAGATTACAGACATAACACTCGTAAGTTGCTAATCGAACACGAATTTAAAGGTCAATTTAAATGTATCGTAGTTGGTAGTACCACCACCTGTGGCGCGCGTAGTCATTTGCCTTGCGTTTGTCGTTTATACACTATCGCCATCAGTTCAGCGTACTGCCCATCACAGTGTACTCAATGTGTTATGTCTGTTTGTCTGTGGCCAGATGATGGCTGTAGTTAATTTGTTTCGTACTTGATAGAAATCATTATTGAAATTCGATGAAATTACATAGCCCCGTTAATGTTTTACGTATGTGAATGCCAAATTGATATTTTTCAGCTCTCATACGCTCTCACTATCACGCGTGATATTGGAGCAAATATCATGCTTGACATTGGTTTTACAAGCTCCTTTGATATTGCGAGACTATTCACAACGTGTAAAGTTGAAGCTGAGAGTTGACTCGACGAAAAAATGATCCCGTTGCACCTCGTCGTCTTAGCAAGAGAAGGTATTATAATTAAAGCCCTCTAGTTAAAGTATGGACGACTGTCACCACAAAACTGAAAAAAGCTGTTCCAATCGAGCAAAGCGGTGCATTTTGACGGTTCGATTGGAGCTACTTTTGACAGATGTCCATATGCTTTCTCTGTTTTTCTCTTCACCGATGGCAGACACGAAGCGACTGTTGTCAGCCGTTATGGAAGCTTCGATTGCGTTCGGGTGTGAAGCAAAAATCATGAAACTCAATCTCACCACAGTTTGGTGAGACTTGCAGCTGGTGAGTTTTGTTAGCTTGTTATTTCGAGCTGCGATATCACAGCTTGCAATATCAACCGCATTTGTTTGATATTCTTCGAGTTGTTCCGAGTTCCGGGCCAAATTCCTCTCGGCGACCATCTTCCGGTGCTGGTAAACTCGGTATTTGGCTGGGTACTGTCAGGAAAATCCACCGTTGCTACCATCATCTCATGGAAAGGTTTTAGAAAATCGAGGAGGACAGTTCACCTTCCACCTACTCCGTTGAAGAGCAAGCCTGCGAGCAGCATTTTTATCAAACCGTGTCGCGTATCCCGGAGGGCCGATACGTAGTTCGCTTACCTTTCAAGGAAGCCGTCCTTGAGCAACTTACGGATAACCGTCAGACTGCTGTCCGTAAGTTTCATCTCCTACTAAGTCGTCTAGTCCGGAGTCCTGATCTACGCCAGCAGTACAAGGCATTTATAGACGAGTTCGTCGACCTTGATCATGTGGAGCGGATACACGACTACGAAGAGCCAAACGTCAAACGCTTTTATCTTCCACATCATGCGGTGCTTCGCGAAGACAGCACAACTACGAAACTACGGGTCGTCTTCTACGCCTCGTGCAAGACTCCTACAGGGCCATCATTGAACGATGCACTTATGGTTGGGCCAACCGTTCAAGTAGACATACGGTCAATCACAATGCGTTCCCGGAAGCACCAAGTCATGATAGTCGCAGACGTTAAAATGATGTATCGCCAAGCTCTTATCGATCCTCGAGACACGTCAGTCCAGCTCATCGTCTGGAAGCCTTCTCCAGACCTAATTTCCCTTTAGCAGCTACAGTTCAGCAGAAAGATTTCTACGTGGACTATCCCTTTTCCAGCAGCAAAACCGCAGCGGAAGTAATCGAGCTGCGAAACCAGCCAGAAGGACTCCTAGCAAAAGGTGGTTTCCAGCTACGTAAGTGGGCCTCAAATGATGAAGCTGTTCTCGACGGAATTCCACCCGAAAACCGTGCCGTGCCGACCTTCACCGTGACCATGTAATCAATACACTCGACCTCTGCTAGGAGATATCAACTAACTGACCACGCTACCAAATTGAATTGCCATCGGACTCTCTTCGAGATAGCACATCAGTCTCATCGCGATTTTCGCGACATCATTAAACGATTTCGTGATTTTCTCGACTGAAAGTTTATATCCGCTACAAATCCGCGAAAATCACGAAATCCGCGCCTGTTGTAACAGCCCTGTATAATAATTTGCCCCGGGGGTGCTTACCCCAGAAGCCCGTAATAGAAAAAGAAGTGTAAAGGACATCAAACAAAACCACTCACCTTTACAAGTCCCCCGATGTTTCAGGCTAACCTGATGTCCACTGCACTGCGCCCGGATCAGATGGCACCTGGTCGGGTAAGTTTGATTGTCAGTACCGCACACCGGACGACCCTTGCTCTCATCACACTCGCCACCCTTGGCCGTACATTCCGAGATCTGCAAGTTAAGATTAGAACAATAAAATCCAAATTAACACTTGCCTGTCATCGGCGGCATTTGAATAGCTGCAACATTCTAACAACCAAGCGCAATCAATCGAAGATTGCATATAAAAATAAAATGGCTTCATTAGAGGCAAATAACGCATTCATTTAACTCGATCGATAACGATCGGTCGGTAAAAAAAAGTCTCTTCCATCATCGCCGTCGTCGTCGCATTTGTCGTTCTCCGCTAGCGTCTCCAGACCGAAGGGGAACCTGCTATACAGGCAAACGATGATTTACCAATAAAGACAACTCGTCAAGCACCATCGCAGTTATTAATGGCCAGCAGCGGCGGAGGAAAGCCGATACGAGCGAAAACAAATCGTTAGAAGTAGGTATTGGAGGAATTAATCGTCCGCGATCGTCGTCCGGGAGAGGAATTATGAGCGAAACGATAATGATGGCGCCAATTTTCATTAGTGTTTGCAAATTGTTCGACCCCTTGCGTATCACCCCTTGCCCCATTCTGTGCGTTTGCTTCGAACCGTTTTCCTACATGGGATACGGGGATAGGAAAAGCGTAAACAGTAAATACAGTCAACTCTGTACAACGCGATATTGAACGGACCATCGACTTGACGATTCATATCAAGTTACCTAGTTACAACACAACTAATGGAGAATCACTCGATGGGACCCCGGAATTGGTCAGAAATAGTTCAGTTACTCGAAACCGGTTTACGGTATATAGGTAGGATTGTGAAAAGTTGACTGTATTATTTTTCTACTAAAATATAAGTTCACCACGATGGCTGAAAGGAATTCCAACGTGGCTCTTCTAGATGATCCGAGGGGTCATTCATCGTGGGAATAGTTGGAAAACAACTGAAGGAAAATCCTACTTCGAAGAGGTTTGAATTGGTTGAAGATCTTTGATCTTTTACTTGAAGTCGCCTGCATATCCACTTGAACTTCCCAAAAATTTTCGTTGCCAGTTAAAGTTAAGGAAAAGATTAAATTTATCAGGGATTTAAATTTTTCGAATTTCTAAGTGCCAATCAACTGTCACAATCGAGCTGTGCTAATTTCCGACTGCCATGCGCCCCGGCGATAAAATACACGCGCAGGATGCCACAGACAAACACACCTACCCACGTATGGCTACCAATGGGAATACGGGAAGACGATCGATGAGACGGGATCGTCATTTCGCGTGCACGTTTGAGAGCCTGTGTGTTTGTTTACCGTTTTTGTTATTACATTGTTTATTGATAATATTAAATAATAATCCCATTAAAGTAAGCTGCCACCGCCGCCGTCATCGATGCATGAAGCGGCTTCACCCGGTTGGGTGCACGTCGGATTGCTGGCATGTGTCTAATAGAGGGACTGTGCAAATTTGACGAGCTAAGCAATCCGCGCGAGTTGTCAAACAAAGTTGACACACAATTCCAGTGGTGACGTCACTCGGTTCAATCACCGAGAAATTGACACGACGCGGGCGTAATCACTTGTCAAAATAGGAGGGCGAACACGTGCCTACTTATCCATCAGCAAAGATCGCGGTCGATCGAACGACAAATGTCACACAAACGAAAGACGTCACCGGTAAACTAAAGACACATGGAAGGAATAAAAGTTCAACGGAACCCGGGCCTCGTGAGCTATCAAATTGAGTCTGATTGAGTGGAATTGAGGTTTATGTCTTTGCGGATGGTGTATAAACTTGTCCACGACCGAGGGCGCTCTAATCAGGCGCACGTATCATTTGGGATTAGTGCGAAATTCTAAACTACTTTCGTAGTAAACCCATCATTGATAAAAAGCGAGGGCCAACGGTATTTTATTCTCGGAAGAGTTCGCTGATACCAAAGACTGGTGACACATTGAGTTAATTTGATGTAAGGAGTTAAGTTTTTACGATGAATCATTTGCATGCACTGTTTGGACCGAGGAATTTCGACTACTTCCGAGTACATGACATGACAATTCTTTCCGTTTCCGTTTTCCATTATGTGATATCAGTAGAAATTTAAAATACTCTTAGTCATTTCTCACTGCTAGTTCGATTTATTTTATAAAATGTTCTTCATGGAAACTTGCCACCACTGAGAAATTTAAAAAAAAAAACTGACAAAAACTTAAATTACTCAAAATATCCTTGTTCAATGTTTTTGAAATATTTTTATAATAAAGCTTTTGAAAAATGCAGATTTTTGAAATGTTAAAACCTTTGGATAATTAAAAATCTACAAAAGTCGTAGAACAACAGCTTTTGTTAAATTTTTAGAACTGTTATTATGTAGGGTAAATTATGGCTTCGGCACCCATTGGCTGTTTTCGACAACTAAAATTTAAACGTTAATTTCGCCAAAACACCAAAACACTTCGCTGAATGTATTTAACCGATTATTTAGTCTTTCAGCTTCAGTCTGCTTACAATTTTACGAAGAAACAAACCTGTTAAGTCAGGTTTTCTTCAAATGAAACATACGCACTACAAAATACGACAGATTTCGAGTTACCGATAATAGAACCAAAGAAAATGAGGCGACCGACAATAGTCACAATCACCTGAGAAGTTTGGAGCGTTGTAACAACGTTTTCGACCCGTTTTGAACAATTCTGTCGAATAAAATTGTTTTTGACTGAGTACCAATGCTACCGACGTCAGGGAAGTGGTAACTGCCCGAGCAAAGTTGGAGATCAAATTGAAATCAAAATTTGTTGTTATGATGTAACTTATTTTGAATACTCCAGTTGATCTCATTTTGGTTGACTTAACTGCTGTGTTAACCAGAAATGAGAGCAAAATTGTACACTGTTGAATCAAACGGAAAACTAATCTTGCTTTCAAAGAAATCACTTTGATTTCTGATTTTGCATTCATAATGTTTAACTGAATACGGACCTGGCGTAAATCGTTAGCATCCATGCTTCTCACGTTGAAAGGCTTAAGCTCAAATCTAACCACGGGCAAGTAACGAATGTTCTAAAATGTGTTAAACAAAACAAATAAACAATAATCGTTAGTTCAACGACAGATGAGCTTACATTAAATTTTAAACAAGACGTTAACAGCAGAACTTCAAGTGAAGTTGCTTTCATTTAAAAAGTCTTTACTTCATAATGGAAGCACAATATGATATCAGACTAATGTCGTGACAATTCAAATCAAAATAAGTTTTCATTGTGATAGGAACTGCAAACTTTAATATCGATTTGCTTTCAGTTTGTTAATCGACTTTGCTCGGGTGGTTATCACCGTATTTTTGGACAACTTTGGAACATCAGCTGCAGAGGTTTCAATCAAAATGAAAGAATTGCGCGGAGCCAATTGATGACAACGACAAGTATGTGCTCTGCAGCGGAGCCTGCAACAGACTGCTTCACGTAAATTGTGCTGGTTACAAACGTTACAAACTTCAAGGCTTGGTCGTCAAACGTTGGACTACTTTGGTTCTGTGATGCATGTAGGGTTAATTTTAATCCAATAGTCATGGATCGTGAATCTCACAGACTAAACGCATTTCGTGGTCTCATGATCAGAGTGGACTGCATGGATCTTCGAATTGGACATCTACATGAGAAGGGAATCGAACGTGGATGCAAGACTACATCAGCTGTCGTCCAGAACATCAATGAATACTCCTACAGACTTTCTCCTCGGCATAGATCGGATGAATCTTGATAGCTCGCTGCACTATAATTTTGGGAACATTTTCGGTGATCATGATAAGCCAACGACCCCGGTAACCACTCCTGTTGCCAGTCGAGCTGCAGCCTTAACTACCACCACAACGACCATCGCTAATGTTATTACTGCCAGTACCGCCAGCAGACCCAACGTTAGCACTACATCCGTTGCAATGGCATCAGGTGCATCATCCACCTGTTCCGTTGTCATGTCTACAGCTACGATCACCACCTCCCAGTGTTGTGAAAATATCAAAAAATCAAATCTCACCAACGCCCAAGATCACGATTGATTTTCGTAGACAAAAATCAACAAGCAAACTATTACGGTTGATTTTGCAAGCTGTGACATCACAGCTCAGAATATCAAGCTAACAAAACTCACCAACTGCAAATCTCACCAAACTGTGGTGAGATTGAGTTTAATGATTTTCGCTTTACAGCAGTCCCTTCGCGTCTGCCATCGGTGAAGATTAAAAAGAGATAGCAAACTATGCTTTCTCTTTCTAAGAAAACGATGTGCAACGGAATCATTTTTGTGTCGAGTCAACTCTCAGCTTGATTTTTGCACATTGTGAATAGTCTCGCGATATCAAAGGAGCTTGTAAAATCAATATCAAGCATGATATTTTGTTCCAATATCACGCGTGATATTGCGAGCGCATGAGGGCGGAAAAATATCAATTGATTTCTGGTTTGCCAACACTGCCACCACCAGTAACGACATTGCTACCATCGCGGCTGGAGCTGCGCAGGCGAGTGGCTCTGGAGCATCAGTCATCCCAACGACATCGCACATCGAGCCACCTAAGGGTCGTGAATAGAAACGAACGTTGCCATCAACAGAACAACACCGATCCTCCGGAAGAACTGTATTCGGTCTACATTACCCCTTTCCACGGAAGATGTTCTGGAATACCTTCGTGACACCTTCAACGTACAAAACTCCACAGTTAAATGCGCCAAGCTGGTATCGAAGGGAAAACAACTCAGCGAGCTAACCTTTGTTGCCTTCAAAGTGTCAGTGTCACCGGACTTGGATTCAGTTGGAGGTGATTCACTCTACTGGCATGATGGAGTAAACGTTCGAAGATTCCAGCCAAAAAACGACGCATCTCCGATAAATCTTCGTCTTACAATATCATCGAAATAAGTCCTGTGGAACGAATCGAAACAACAACTCTCTCTTCAACGCAACAGTTAGCTGCTCTGGGACGCTAGATGTTCGCACTATGCAAGGCACTGATCCTCTCGCCACAGTCGTGCCATTTCTGTCGTCGTTCAACAGTCGTGCCGGCCCTGGAGAAGTGATCTTC